CTTCACAGCTCCAGTGATGACAATCAGCCCCAAAAAAACTTCCTCACACCACAAGGGAAGCAACACCATCACAACCCACCAGGGTTCCATCCAGTTCCATCACAGTTCCATCCTCTCCCTCACCACAAAAATCCCCATTGTTAATCCAGTCCTAGGCAATGGCCAAGCTGAGCTTTGCCTTTTACTTTACTGTCACTGTTTGAACTTCAAATTCCCCTAATAATGTGTAATCTCCCTGTCTTTGTCTCAATCCATGAGCTTTTAAATCTTATTTTCTCCCCCATTGCTGGAGGGGGTTGTGTGAGAGCAGCTGGGTGGACATTGGCCAGCCCACCAGGGTGCTACTGCTCCACAGAGAATTCCACAGGGAATCCTTCTGGGCACGCAAATCAGCAAATAAAAACAAAAAACCTCAAAAGCTGGTGCATGCAAGCACCTCTATTATGTAAGAACTTTCCTGGATAGGCTAATGTTTCAAATAACAATTTGAAGTTGACCTGCATTAAAAGCGTTGCTAAAAATCTCTCAAAGATTCCCAAACTGGGCAACCTCTAGGTGTGCTAAATATTGAGGGTGATTTATGGGGCCAATGTGCCAAGGTCTGGGAAACAGGCAATTTATTGGCATGGATCAAGTATCCCAGAAAACCAGGCTTCTTCCAGCACCTGGGTGCTGGCTGCAGTGGCAAAACAGAATCCCAATCCTCTGGGACTTCCCTCAGAAGTCAGAGTAACATTTTTTTGGTAAATTATAAATCTAAAGCAATTCGTTGTTGTTGTTGTTATTGTTTCCACCTCTGGTTATGTTTTAGTAGCCAAATATATTTTCCTTCTAGAGAAGAGCTGGGAATCCTGGAACCTGCAGCCAGGGGAGGCAGCAATTAGTGGTTTGAAGTGTTAATGGGACCACAGTGGGAACAGGAAGTCCCTTGAACTCAGCTATTAGCAAATTAATAAAAGGGGTAACACGCTCTCCTGAGTGTTACAAATTTAGCACTAATTAGGACTTTTCTTTCTTAGCTATTTTAGGCAAGAAAATCTTCAATATCCTTTGTTAAATCTTAATCATCTTGTTTGTAGAAGTAAATCATATGGAAACATTGGTTTCTTGACCCTGCTACAGTCTATTAAACTTTTTTCATTCTCCTTTTCTTTCTGACATGACTTATAGATAGTTATTTTGTATACAGTTAGCTTTATTTATCAAATCTTAACCCAGAGGAAGGTTTTTTTTGAATAAGACTAAACTAAGACTAAACAGGCCATTAATTTGTAGCCCGTCCCTAACTTCTCAAAGATCCCCCCCCGCCCCCTTCACAGGAACATCGGCAGTCCAATTTATTTATATTTGTTTTATGTATTTATTGCTCATTTATTCCAGATGTTAAACATCATGGAGCTGTTGTAACTGGCAAGCATCTCTTTCTGCCAAAGATCTACACAGTTTTGTGTATTTTAGCACTTGGGAATTAATCACGAGAGAAACTTAATCAAGTTTGCAATGATGAAAAGGCCTTAATTAGAGCAGAAGCCAAAATGTCCTCCTGCTCTTCCTTTCTTCTTGCACTGCCCAAATCTCATTGAAACCTTGCCTGAAGACCAGAAAACAAATCTCACAGTTGATTGGATATATCTAATTGTGAATTGATGTCTATGCTTTTGCGGATACATTTCAAATCTTGCCTGGTGGCTGTGTTGGCCAAGGAAATTAATTCATTTTTAACTACAGAGCAAAGCTGTGATGTGGGGCAATATATGTCTGCCTTTTTGCAAAGAATATTACTTGTCTCTAGCAAAATCAGTGCATTGCTAAATGATTGACAGAACCACAAAAGATTTAGCTTTTAGTGTTTAGGAAACAGCGATGAAGAGGGAAAGCCCTAAGGCTGACCAAGGCAGAAGAAACTCACTTCCATTCAGCAAAAGCCATATTGAGCATTAAAGAGAAAATGGAGGTGGAAGGTTATATCTTCACTGATGCCAATAAGTAAAAAGAGCATGTTCAAAGTAATCAGTGGTGAGCTCATGGTTTAAAACACACAATGTGCAGGTAGGTGCACATCAACAGCAGTGCTGAGAACTGAAGTAGACAATGTCTGAACATACACCAGAAAGCCTGAGAAATACTGGACACTCTCAAGGTAGCTTTCATAAATTAATGCAAGCTGATGTTAATATCTCTATTTTACAATCAGTTAGAAAGGGTAGTTTGGCAGCAGGATTAATAACTTTTGAAACAAATGTAGCTTGAAAAGGAAGATTCCATGACCAGAGCTCAGCTCAGAAGACTTTGTTTCGTGTTTAGAAAAACCGGATGAAAACCATTCCTGGTTGGCCTGTGGAGGGAAACACAAAATACAGTCATTTGTGTTTACTTCTGCTAAACAGCTGGTCAGAAAGTATTTTTCTGCACTGTGTGAGGCTAAAGCAAGTATTATTTTTACTTTTCTCGACTGCATGAGGTAGTATGCAAATGGTGTTCACTGAGGTGACACTGTGACATCCTGTCTGCCTTTAGGGCTCTAAATACTAAAAGTAACTGAGTGCTTTTTCCCTCCATGTGGGTTATAATTGTGGGAATAAGATGTGTGAGCCAGTGAGCCAGGCAGCACATAGATAAATTCCAGATGATGATTTAATGCTGGTGAATACAAGTCTTATAGTCTTGCAAGCAGCCTGGTACTGGAGAGGACCTTTGAGGTCAATTCATTTCCCTTCTGTCACAGGCAGCCCTCTGAAATAAGCTGCATGATAAAGTGACCCAGCTCCATTACAGAGTTATTTTTTTTGCCACCATTTCTACTACCGTAATGGTGCAGAAGAGGAATCCTACAGCAGGTCCTTGGAAATGTAGAAATCTTCCTATTGCCAGCCTTAATATACTCTTATCCGGTTTATTCACATCTTTCTTTTCTGCCAAAATTGTGCTTCTGCTTAAATAGCGCTTCTCCCTTCTGTGTGCTCATCCATGATGTATTTATAGGGAGTCCTCTCTCAGCATTCACTGCATGAGATAAAACAAGCCATCCTTTTTTTAGACTCCTTTCGTATAACAGACTTTCCACAATCTGAATCATCCTTGCAGCTCATCCCTTCACCTGCTCCTGTCTGGGCATGGGGAGCAGAACGAGCAAGAGCAGCTATATATTTTCTTACCAGGGATTTTTACAATGCCATTAATACTGCCTTGTTTTCTTACTGCTCCCTTGTACATTTATACTCTCTGTACGTAGCATTCTTCAAGCGTATAAATTATGTTACACAGTGAACCGTCAAATACTGGTGTGTCATCTCCTCTGGTGCCACTTGAGCTCCTTGGGAGTGTGGTCAGCATCTTGCAGGCAGAATCCTTCAGTGCTTTTCATCTGGTGCTTTTTCATCCTTGATAGCTCCTGCAGAGTGTTTCAGCATGAAGATGTTTCAGCAGTCATTACAAAAGCAAGTGAATCATTCAAAAAAAGCACAATCCATCCATCTTCTTTAGTGTCACCAATTAATAGCTGCTCAGGATGCTTTGCAACCTATAGTTGCTTAAGGGAAGAAAAATAACCAACCCTTCCTATAGTGAATTCCTTCCTATAGCAAGGAAGCTTTATTAAGTAAATTAGGCAATATGCAAAGGCTTCTGACTTGGGGCTTTAAAGAAGAGTGAAAAAAACAGTGTAAGAAGGGAGCTAAAAAACAATTGGTAGACAAGATTATTTCTTATTATTGGAACCCACTTTTCAGAAGTCAGTAGTCAGAGCCTGATTTGGTGGCCACACTTCTGTCTGATGCTGCCCCTCCAAGCAAACAATGTTGAGGCCACCAGTTTCCTCCACTTGATGGAGCTGGAACAGCCTTTTACTTCATGCTTCTGATTTGGAATATTTTGCTGCAGACTGTGCAAAATAAGGGACATTTTTTAAAAGGGAGCAGTGTTGCCTTTTTGGGCAGCTCAGACTGTGTGTGCTCATTGCTCCAGTCACAAGGTTCTAGAGCAGAGTCATTGCACCCTTTGGTGAAGCTCTGCCTTGGGCACTGTCAGAGCACCCGGAGAAAATCCAGAGCCCCATTTGCCAGACCTAAAGATGCATTCCCCAACCTGCCCACAGCTGCTGACTCCAGTCCCTCCCTCCCTGTCTAAAACACTGTGGCTTTTGCCACTGGACACACCCCAAGCAGCACAGCAATGCCACCCTTGAGAGGAATCAATTCCAGCCCATGTGGCATAGCTGGAGGTCTGTGCCTAAGTGTAATGGAATCTGATGGAAGCTAATTAAAATTAAAACCATCCATTTCGCTGTCTCCTTAGGGTTTCGTCATAAAAACCTTATGTTGTCTTACAGGCCTAAACAAGTGTGTTCACATGTAAAAATCAGCCATTAAGCTGCCTGGAGCATAGTTAACATGTCTAAACTGTCATTTGTAAGGGCTGCCTCAAGCCTGGATCCTGCAGGTGGGAATGGCCTTTCTGCTGTCCTCAAATCACCCTGCATAAGTGGGGCATCCCTGCTTCAAAATGGGAAAGAGGGACAAGCCCAGGGATCCTGCACTGACAGTCATGTGGAGAGGATGTTTCTCCATCTGGCCTTGGCAGGAGCTGGGAATCAGAGGCAAAGAGTACTTGTTATATGAGGGCTGTGCCAAAGATGTTCAGAGGTTAGTAGTGTAAATCTAATAGGGGTGTTTCCTGGTCTTCTCCTCAACCCCAGCTAGGCTACAATTTTTAAGGCAAAGTGAATTTCCTCTGGGACACAGGAGTCGTGGTTTTTTACAGTGGAAAAAAATTATGGGCTGTGGCCCCTTGGCTGCCCCAAGGGAAAAATCAACATGGTTTAAATGGCAGCTCTCCCCAGTGTCTGTCAAAGGTGAGATTTTCACTCACCCAGACTATGCAGAATTCAGAGTTTCTGCTGAAACTGGGCTTGTGCAGAAGTTGTATCTGGGCAGGTCTCCCTGGGCAGGAGGAGATGGCAGCTTTGGGTCTGTGGGGTAACTCCAGCTGGTGTCTCCTTGCAGGCATCGGAGGTGGAGCGGCAGCTCTCCCTGCAGGTCCACACACTCCGGGAGGACTTCCGGGAGAAGAATTCCTCCAGCAGCCAACACATCGTGCGGCTGGAGAGCCTCCAGGCCGAGGTGAGTCACCTGCCTCCCTCCTGCAGAAAGCAGCCAGGGCTCCTGGAGCTTGTGTCATGCCCTTCTCTGAGCAAACACAGTCAGCCAGTGGAGCCAACAGAGGGATGGCAACACTGGGGCAAAGGACTCCCCCAGCAAGGATTGCTCCATGGTGTTCTGGTTGGGGTTCTGGCTCACAGCATCTTCCAGTGCTGCCTCTGCCACAGCATTCCTGCAAAATGAAGAGATGAGAAGGATCTTCCAGGAGCCAAACCATGGCTGTACTCCCACAGGGCTTTTCCCAGTACAGATTAAACTCTGGTGGGCATGGTGGGAAGGTCTGCAGGGTTCTTTTTCCTTCTGTTCCTCATGCTTGCAAAGGAAGCAGCAATCCTCTCCTGCCTCCGAGCCATGCACTTGGGAAAGCAAGGAGCCCCTGCCTGTTTTAACTTAGGTACATTTGCAGGAATGATACAACTTACTTCCTTTTCCCTTCCCTGACAGGGTCACTGGGGATCACATAGGTAGGAGCTAGATGGGTAGAAGATGTCCTGCTCTACTACCCAACCACTTCTTTTATTTAAAAGCTGTCTGGAAAAGCTTTTCCTAAAATCTCTCCATTTCTTTTCTCCTGCTCCCACCTGCTCCTTGCTGGTCCCTTGCCTTTTCTTCCCCTCCCCTTGGTGTGGAGCAGCAGGTCCTTGAAGTAAGTATGGAGGCTTGGAAAGGGTTTGCCTGCATGTCCATGGCTGTTACCATGCAAGCCTGTCACCATGCATGCCACACCTTCTCTCCTCACCTCCTTCCTGTCTCTTGCTTTCCAATCCCTTTCCCCCTGTGCCTTCCCCATGGTCCAGGGCTCATGGCAAAGCAGTGTTTTTTCTGTTGTATGGTTATTTACAGTGTGTTCATTACTGGTCTGTCCAGCAAATATGAACTCTTGGTACAATCTCTCCATTAAACCTCTTATTTTTCTTTCTCCAACCCACACAAATCATGATGGGGGTGGGCAGAGACATCTCAGAAACCATTAGTCACCTCAAAGCAGCTTTCCAATACCTCCAGCAGCCTTTACTCTGCAGAAACAGCTAGTCCACATACTTGGCTGATACTCCTTAGTGCAGCCAAATCTTTCCAGCAACCTGGGAAGCAGCAAAGAGACAAGGTCCCAAAGAGGCCAAGAAAACGGTGTGAATTTGCTGGATTTGTCTATGCTCCATGAACTGAAAGGAGGCCATAGAGAATATTTAGGGTTATACTGGACTGGTGGATGGCTGGCATACCAGACCCCAGAGACCCTGTGTGTAGTAATGTGGGGAAAAGCTCCTTCTTCTTGGTTAAACAAGAAGTGACCTTGGCTAGTGCTGATTCATCCTTGCACTGTTCCCAGCTAACTGAGTCATGGAGGGTTTGTTTGGCACACTGTCCCTCGCCTGAAATCACTGCCCTTGACAATTAAAAGAAATGAACCAATTTTAAAGGCAACCCATCACTGTGAGGCTAAAAATAGGCACAGCACAGAAAGGAGTTTTCATAAGTGAAAAGACAGAAAAGTCCCTGGTGAGGACCTGATGAACACACACAAATTAAGAACAGCTATGGGCAGTTCTGTGGCACAGACCTACAGGGAGCAGGATTCCACAGCCTCACCCTGGATCCTGCTGGCTCACCCTGTGGTCTCCAGCATCCACACAGGAGAAAATGCCACCATCAGGACCAGCCAGGAAAAGTAACTAGTTTTTACCTTTCAAATGTTAAAGTGCAAGGGGTGGGCAGGGCTGGTCTCCACTTAATATCTTTGAATATTCCTGCCTGTTCCCTGACCTGCCAGTGCCCACCCAGCCCCTTTGGAGCTGCCCCTGAAGCCTGGGGGAGGAGTTGTTTCCTTTCAGAGCTTTCCTAAGCATTAAACCACACACAGAGGTAGTTTCTCTCATACAGGTACAGAACATCTGTGTACATCCTTCTGCATTTTGCTGTTCCATTTCTCTCTTTGGAATGTGGTGTCTCTCCTCTCTGGTCCCTGCAAAATCTGACAGGGCCTCTCTTTGCCCTGCAGATCAAAATGCTGACAGACAGGAAGCGGGAGCTGGAGCATCGCCTCAGTGCCATGATGGAGGAGAATGACCTGCTCCAGGGAACCGTGGAGGAGCTGCAGGACCGAGTCCTCATCTTGGAGAGACAAAGCCATGACAAGGACCTGCAGGTGAGGAGGCAGCAGTAAGACAGAGAGGGGATGGGGAGATGCAGTAAAAGTCATGATCTGGGGAAAAAATTGGCCATGAACTGAGAGACAGAACAACTGGAAGAATGAAATGGCTCATGCAAGAATGGCAGGAAGCAAGGTTCTGGGTGTTCCCCATGAAGATGTGTAGCATCAACAAATCATCCTGACAGCAAAGAGCAGCTTAGGAGGGAGATCTGAGCAGGGAAGTGAGGCAGGGTGCTGAGGAAATGAGGTAAATGCAAAAAGAACCAGAGGACTCCATCAACAGAGGTTGTAGTTAATTTTGTTTAATTTTTTAATAGTAGAATTGGCTTCAAAAGGGACTTCTTTAGATCCCACTGTTCCAGAGGGCAGTCTTAGATCAAATGGGGCTTCTCTTAGATCCCAGTGCTCATCTGGTTTCCCAGCAATCTCCATGGTGTTCACAGCCATGAATCACCAAATGACACTCCCCAGAAAACAAGCTTGGCACCTCTGGGGCTTAGGGCAGAGCAAGGTTTTTCCATTTCACTTCTGCGGGTTACCAAGCACTGGATCCTCAGCTCTGCAAAACAACCCTGAATATATTTTCCTTTTTTAAATATATATTTGTATATATTTTTAAAAAACATGTAGCTAGCACTTTTTGTTTGGATTCACTTCCTGCTGTGTTTTTTTCAGCAAATTTCTTTACCTGAGTCCCAACTTCTTCACAATGTTCTTCATTTTAGTACTGATTAACCTGCTATTTTTATCTTTCTGGATATTCTGGATTCTAAACAGTGTCTAATGGCACTTGGAGATTATTAAGCTCCAATAAATAGCAGTACCAGCCAAGTACTTTCCTCCTGGCTGGAAAGCCTGTTTTGTGTCACTCATTCCTCCCTCCCAGCTTCCTCACAAACCAAGAGATTGATCCAGTCCATATTGCCTCCATTAATATTTTTCTGATTCCTCGATTTTCTCCCCAAGCTGCACCAAAGCCAGTTGGAGCTCCAGGAGGTGAGGCTGTCCTACCGGCAGCTGCAGGGCAAGGTGGAGGAGCTCAGCGAGGAGAAAAGTCTCCAAAACCTCAACACAACCAGCACATCCCTGCTCTCTGAGATAGAGCAGAGCATGGAGGCAGAGGAGCTGGAGCAAGAACGAGAACAGGTATTTGCCCTCCAGTTTAATGTGTTTGATCTGGATTTGGAGCTGAACCAAAGGCTGGAAAATTGGGACTGGGGTCTGGTATCAACACCCTTTTGACCATATGAAAGTACACCTCTGCATCCATTTCCAATCCAGCATGGCAAATATTTGTGAGGGCTGGCAATCACACGCTCCACTTGACCATGGAAGGAGGATTTCGGTGGCCCTGACACCCCGGGCTAATGCCAGGTTGTTTTGTTGCAGCTGAGGCTGCAGCTCTGGGAGGCGTACTGCCAAGTGCGGTACCTGTGCTCCCACCTGCGAGGCAACGACAGCGCCGACTCGGCCGTGTCCACTGACTCCTCCATGGACGAGTCCTCAGAAACCTCATCAGCCAAAGACGTCCCAGCTGGGAGCCTGCGGGCAGCTCTCAGTGAGCTCAAGAGACTGATACAAAACGTGCTGGACGGGGCAGACTCCACAGTAAGTTGGTGGCACAGAGAGACCTTGGCCGACCATTTGAGATGCAAGGAGTGGGCTGTGCTCTGTGACTGCCCATCTCTGTGAGCCACAGAGGTTTTCTGGCAGATCAGGGCCTTCAGGATGCAGCAGCACCTGCAGCGAGCTCTGGGCCAGAGGATGTGCACAAGCCAAGAGCAAAGCATGTGGGTTTTCAGCCTGCAGTGCTCAGACCATCTAAACTTTCAAGCTCATACAACTGTCATTGGCCTATGAGTTGTTCTGGAAAATTAATAAAAGTAGGCTTACTTTGAGATTTCCAGTAAGTTAGAGTTTCAACGTGGAAATATTGCAGATTGCCTTACATATCACAGTTGGGTTATTTCCTTTGGGATATAACCTTACTTTATTAGCAATAGTATCACAAAAACATGATAACCCCTATGTTGGGATGTTCTGTCCCTGTGAATTGTCATTGGTAGAAATGTCTTGGCAGGAGCTGCCAAACTCAAGCCCATGGCAGGTGAAGGGTTTTGCTGGCACAAGATGATGTCTGTAGGATGTGGTCCCCAGGCTGCTGGGCAGGAGGGGTGGCATGGAGGGACCACTCAGCATCCACAGAAGTACAGAATTACAACAAAACACCTCCCTTTTTGTTATGGCTCAAATCAGGCCTGTTCCCATTCCCAATAACCTAGTTGCATTGTCATTATGACTTATTTGGGGTGCTGTGGTGAGGAAAGCAGTGCAGCCCCTGCAGGGGGCTGTGAGGGAGTACTCACCCTCCTCATTTCAGTACCCATAGGCTGAGTATAGAGATGAAGTTGCATTTGGTGAATGAAATGTAGAGAGTCCTGCAAAAGGTCCAAACTACAACAAACTACTACAAACAGAGACTGTAGTCATATGGGCTACCAAATGGGCAGTAGTTCTCTGTAAATTTGGTTTATGCCAAGGTCTGCATGCTCTTTCCATCATGTGTTGAAGCACTACCCTTGGTTGAGCACTCTTGGTTGTGAAGGTATATGGGAACAAAAAACTGTACCAAAGTCCCACTCACATTTTCTTCTTCCTTGTTTAGTACCCTCGTCCCAAACTAGTACCAAATTAATACAATTGCCTTTTTTAAAGTGAAATCTGAGCAAGAGATTTCTCTCCCACTCTCAGAGCTCTCGGCGAAGCGACGACGACACCTTAGAGGAACAGATCAGGAGAACGAGTGAGGATTCGCGAGCCCTGAGGGAATTAATGGAGGGAGAACGGGGGAAACTGAGGCAGAGTTTGGAGGAGCTGCAGCGACTGCACAGCCAGGTTAGCAACTCCCACACTTTACATGTGGTCTTGTAACACCAGTGTTCATCCTCCAAGACATGCCATCCATCAAAGAGACCAACATGATAAATAACCCAGGAGGATTTAGACCAAAATGGTTGGATGAGGGAGATTTGTTTAACCAAATGCAGAGGATTTAAGCATTTATGATGAAAGTTTCTGACAAATTGTCTGGGGTCCATCCGAGGCATCATCTCAAGCACCCAAACTTCTTTTAAGCCTTTCTCCCAATCTGCTTTTTACCCAATCTCTGTTACTTAAATTCTTCTCAGCAGAAGACCTCAAAATATGAGGCTGCTTGATACGGGGTATTGGAAACCCAAAGGTATCCAGGCTGACCTGAATTGCTGCACTGAGTCCTTGTGAGGTGTGTGTGCACCAATTCCGTGGATATAACGGTGCTGCTCTGCTGTGCATGGAGCAGGGCTTGACTTCTTCCACAGCAGCATCACAAAACCCTCAGAAGAGCAGAGCATTCCCAGAGAATCCTAATTGTGGCCAAGCTGGCACCAGGCAGCACCCCAGGGACCAGCTGAGGCAACCTCAACAGCAAGGAATGGTCCAGCCCTACCACCAACTGCACACCCAGAGCACAGAATCCCATTGCAGCATTATCTGTGTCTGAGGCCCTGTGCCAAGAGCAGAAAATGGACACAGGCATCCAAAGAGGTGCTTGGCACTCCTTGTCTCTGTGGGACAAGACTCCAGATGCTGGAGGAGATCTAGAGGCTGCAGCAGAAGCAGCAGCAACTGCACTGGAGCAGGGAATGGGATTAATGTCCTTGGCTAGTCTTCCCAGCAGTGCTGTATCGCCCTTTGGAGAGTAAATAGGAGAGCACATCCCTGTTCAAAAAGTCAGCACAACCTGGGGTCTGACAGCCTTGTGTAGGGCTGTGGGAGCTCCCACCATGGGACCAAAGAGTTCCCCTACTGTTCCTCTCAGCAGTGTGGCCACCACAAGAGACACTTTTGAAGGTCCAGACTTCTGTTTCCAGTGAGACATGAGCCCAGACACTGCCCTGGCTGTACTGCTGCAGTCCTGTGCACCACACACAAGCCCCCCTTGCCATTAAACACACCTGAGATGGAGGAGTCAAGGGCTGGATCTCTGCAGCCTGGCAGTGCTGAGAGACCTTTAGAGACTTATTCACAGATTTTAGGCTTGTCTGATCTCCCCAGACTCTCCAGCCAGTAGGGACCAGAAGACTAGGGACCAGAAGCCATTGTGCAAGTCTGGAAACCTGGGTCTGCTTTTAGGGGTCCCCAACTACCAAAGCTCCGAACATTTAGTAAGCAAAGGAAGGACAGCAGTTCTGTTTTCTCCTCACACCTCTGTGTGATGTGGAGAAAGATGGGGCATAGCTACAAATGCAGCAGCCGTTGCTCTCAGAGAGGAGCTTCAGCCTCCCACAGCAAGTACACGTCTCCCACAGCTTTTGCCTGTTATCCAGCCTCACACTTGCTCCAGGTTATTAATTATTCTCACCTCCTGTTGAACAGGCAACAACGTCTTCTGTTCAGTGCTACAGAAAATTGATGCATGTGGAAATCTGGTCCACCTGGGGGAGGCAGTGCTCTGCTGCCTCCTCATCCCTCTGTTCTGGCACTGGTATTGATACAATCAAAGGGGATCTGCTTATAAGTGGCTTTTAGGATCTTGTGGTGTCACACACATTCATTGCTCCTGCCCAAGAGAGCAGGTGAGCAGGTGGAGATAGGAGTCACCCCCTTCTCTGTCTTCATTGAGAAGCTATTTCACACCTTCTGCCGGCTTTTTTTTTTTCTCCCATTCTTACCTGAAGCACAGACAGAACCAATTAAAATCCCAAACCTATCCCAAACGCCATGTTTTGGGCCTCTGGATCCTCTGTCCCCTGGGATTTCTGTAGCAGTGCTCAGCACCTTTCACATCACCCCAACACCACTGCTCTCTGCCACATCATTGCTCTTGAGGTGCTCCCCATGTAGGGCTGAGGGAGGACACAGCTCCCCAATTCCCTGGCAGCCCTGGCACAGCTCCCTGGTTCCCTGGCAGCCCCAGCACAGCTCCCCAGTCCCATGGGGAGTCTCTGCACAGACAGGGTACATTCACACCCTCCTCCCCCCGGCCCAGCCGTGCCTCACTAACGGCAGATCCTCCCACGCCCTGGATGAGATGAGCCCTTTTTGACTGTCTGCCCTCTATTTAAAGATTTCTTTGAAGATTCAAGCACTACTGAGCTGCATTTAGAGGCAGGAGGTGGGTCAAACGCTGGAAGGGTTTCCAGGTGGTGGAGTAGCGTAACAGAGCATGTGTGTGCCCTAGACAAAGAAATTAAATGTGTATGAAATATTATGAAGCTGTGCTAATGCAATCCTTGCATGATTTCACACCCTATTAACTCACTCTGCACAGGACTGAAATGATAGATCATTTCTCGTACTATTTAAGACTCCAGACATATTTCAAAGTCTAATTAAAATTGTAAGATGTGCCAGTAACACCTTCCCATGGCATGAAAGAGAGTTTTCACATCCTTTGGCTTCATATTACTTTGGGAGATGTAATAGTCCCTTCAAAAAATATTATTTGCTGGTAAATTATGTTAGCAATAATTTAACCCTGGAAAGATCAGAATTACAACAGAATTACATCGGAGGAGGTGTGCAAACTGCAAGACAAACTTCTTGGAGAGGGGCAACATTTTAACACCGATGCCACAGTGACAGCAGTGTCACAGGTGGGTCCTGCCTTGCAGAGCTTTCAGTGCTGGTTCTGCGTGTTACTGAGGCCATCCTGGTGACACATCTTGCTCAGGCCACATCCCAGGGCAAGCCAGCACATTTCATGGAGGGTGGCACCAGCACTAACAGCCCCACACAGCAGACACAGCTTTTTCTACGACCAGGGGATCTCTCCACCTGCAGGCTGGCCCATGTGCCTTTTTCCCCCCGGCCACACTTGTGCGTTTCCCCGAGCAGAGCTGGGTTTCACAGCTTCCCTGTGCCCGCAGGTGACGCTGCTGAGTGTGGAGATGACGACGCTGAAGGAGGAGCGGGACCGGCTGCGCGGCGCTGCCGAGGACAAGGAGGCGAGCGAACGGCTCCTGCAGGCCATCAGGGACCGCGACGAGGCCATCGCCAAGTGAGTGGCACCAACAGCCAGAGCCAGGCTGGGGCGGCATTTGTGGAGTGGCTTTCTCCTGCTCTCCACAGCAGCTGTGACAAAGTGATGTCTTGGTTTTGCTGGCCTTGGGAAATGCTGCCAGGAGCTTGGGAGCAGGGAGGAGATACTAAAGGCAGAGCTGCCCCACAGCTGGATTGGGGGTATTTGGGAGCATTCTGTGAAGCACGTTTGTGCCATCCCTAGTGCTGGTGAGAGTCACAGCAACGAGGCGAGGGCATCAGGGAGCCAAATGGAAACACTAGGTCTGCCCTATATTTGTCACATTTTTCTTCCTTTGCTATTCCAGACACACAGCCCTGCTTTCCTGACCATCCCCATTACAGCCTGCCTGGGCTTCCCTAGACCATTCCTCTGGTCATTCCCTCTCCTTTCCCGTTCCAAGGTATTTTTTGCATCTCCAGTTCTGTAATTCTCTGGTTCTCCTTTTGGGATTCTCCCACTGGTTTGGCTCTTTGTTTTGCCCCTCCTCCTTGCAGATATGTGTGGTTCTGCTCCACCAAACCCCAAATCCCCCTTCCCCATCTCTGTCCTCAGGTTTGCCAAAATGTCCTGAGCACTCCTTGCACAGAGAAGAGGGACAGACACCTTTACCCCTCTGTGCTCTGCTAGAAAAGGTTGATCTGATAATCCCTTCAACAAGCAGATGGGCCAGGACACCAGCAGTCCAGCTTCTTAGGGAAAAGCTCAAGACAAGAGGAGCAGGAGAGGGTTGCACCTCTGAGGGTGCAGGAGCTAAATCAGCCCGCACCATCCCTTTTTATAAGTGGCTCAATCTCCCGTGCTGCCCTTGCTGGGCTAGCTGGTACCAAATTCCCATTGCTGTCCTCTGTAACACCTCCATCTGTTGGCAAGGAGCAGGAGCATCCCAGCTGTCTGCTGGGGGCAGGGAGGTAGTCCTGACATTCCTAGAGCGTGTGGGCTGCTGGCTCTGCCGTGGCTATGGCAACACTGCCGCTGCCATCAATCCCCTGGAAACATCCAACCAGCAGCAGGGAAGCGTCACAGCAGAAGGCAAAAGGCTGCTTCAGGTGCCCTGGAGTGGAAGGGCACAGCTTCTCCAGTCCACTGTGACCTTGCTGAACAAAGCAGCAATATTTGGAGCTGGCTGTCCTGCAGTGCAGGAGCCCCAGGAATGGGGCACAGGTGAGGGGGATTAAGGAGCAGAAAGTGGCAGCAAGTGAAAGCAGACAAGAGCATCCTGTCACTGAAGTGAAAACATCCCTCCCCAGTGAGCTGGTTGCTGCCTGGAGAGGCTCGTGATTTTCTTCCCACCTCACACCCCAAGGGTTAATTTGCTTTTGTTGAACCCATCCCCCAAAAAATCCCTAACTCTGAACAGAAATAAAATCACTGCCCGAGGCAGACATCTGGTGTGGAAAATTTTTGCTTGAAGCTGAAGTTTGGCAACATGGGAAGCGATAGGAAAATAGGATCCTTTCAGAGGAAGTGTTAAGCAACCAGTACCTGGAATATAAACACAAATTCCCAGCACAATTCCCAAATTGCTCTTCTGCAGGGGAGCACAAGGGAGCTATTAGGAGACAAGGAATTAGCTACAGTTAATAAGATGCAATTATTTCTCTCAAAAATGTTTGCAAGGAAGGATTGTTCCCAGCAAGTCCTGTTCTGCTTTCCTATCACACAGTAGTTAATTGAAAACTTAAGCTTTGTGCTCACCTGTGTGCTCCCAGCATGGTGAACAGCTTGGGCAGCTTAGGAAATTGCTCCATCTTAAAGGACAATTCCTTTCCACAAGCAAGGAGTAGCTGGAACATCTCAGCCACTGAGCACTTGGGGCTCTTTGGGTAACCTTGGCCATGGCATGACATGCCCAGTGGCCACCAAATGTCTGGGAGGAAATGCAGCAGAGGTGTTGCCAAGGGCTGGGACAACTCCGCTGAAACTGGGAGCTTTCCTTAAAGCCTAACACTTAATTAAAACTATTTTAACAGTTTGTCATTCTTAAAAAGTATATGATGTGATAAGCTCTCTTCTTTCATTTCTTCTTGCACATTACCCAGGCATACTATTATCTTACACAGCAGTGTATCTGATTTTCTTTCAGTATTCTTCACAGTGTGCTTATCAGAAATCTGCTGGCTTTAGTGATGTCAGAAGTTCTGTCCCACCCTTCAGATTAATCGATTGTGCAGAATACAGCAGAGATGGACACCTTAGGATGTGGGGACTTGCCAGAGAAAGACATAAGTTGTAGACTTGTTTAGATATGCTTAACTCTTCATTTAGAAAGAAAAAGGTGCCATGCCCTGATTTCTGTCCCCACAGGAAGAACGCGGTGGAGGTGGAGCTGACCAAGTGCAAGATCGACATGATGTCCCTCAACAGCCAACTCCTGGATGCCATCCAGCAGAAGGTGAACCTCTCGCAGCAGCTGGAGGCCTGGCAGGTGAGCACCTCGGCAGGGTGGGGGCTGAGGGACACATGGCCCCAGGGCCACCTGTGGGGGAGTGTCCCCCTCCCTGTGGGTGTGTCGTGTCCTCTGCCTGAGCATCCATGGATTGGGTGTTTGGGGGTGCTGGGTTTGGCTCTGCAGGAGCCAGCGATGCCGTGGAGTGCAGAGGGGAGCTGCCCCTCCCTGCTCTGAGCCTTTTGGCTGTGAGCTGCTAATTCTACAGCTCTAAACACTCATTTAAAATGGAGAAGCAGACTGTGCCTCCTGACAGAATGGGAAATGTGCACGTTGCTCTGCATGGGGTGAGGAGGAGTCCGTGCAGGAGGTGTCCCTAGGCAGGCACACCTTGGGTATGTGTGGGCACAGCATGTCTGTGCATTTCCATGATAGAGCAGAAAGGTGGGAGAACAAGGTTGTGCTGATTGTTGGTGCACTATTTTCATCAACTCCGAAGATCCATCAAGAAGGAGGAGCTAAAATTCCAGTTCTTCACCAAGGTAAAGAACAAAGTCATGGCAGTTCCACAGCTGTCCTGGAGATGCTCTGCTTGGGGTCAGTGGGAAAACCCTTGTGAAGGCAGAGAACCCTTGAGAGCAGACAAAGCTGCCTCCTCCCAGAACCAGCACCAAGGGAGGTCTACCTCAGAAAATAAAGCAGACTCAAGAGAAAAGGTCTGTGCCATTTATAGTGATTTGTTGCAGACCATGCAAGACCCCAGCTTTACTAACAACAAGCCTGACCAGTAGAAACCTTTCCCATACAACCTCGCTCCTGTTTCAACTCCACTGTGTTTTCGTTTCTCTCTCTCTCTCTTTTTTTTTTTTTTTTCCCTTTTCTTTTCTTCTTTCTTTTCTTTTTCCTGCTTACAGTTTGCTTCCTCAGGGCTTTTTACTATCTGGCTCCTTTGGTTTCTGATCTAGTGGCCTTTCTCAGTTCCTGTACCAACAGCTTTAGTCGTACACCCCTCCTGCCTTTGAGGTGAGCTCCCCACACCCACCATCCCCTCTCCATCTGCTGCCACCATCACCCACATCCTTTTCTGCCCTCACCATCATCTGGCAAGAGGGGCCAGTGGGAGTCTCCATCACCCACCAATATTCTGCCCACACCCCCCATCCAGCACCAGCCAGGGGCAGCATCCTGCACCCCATGGTGAGGCTTTACCAGGGCACCACAGGAAAAGCCAGTCTGAGGTGCACATATTATTAACCCTCTCTATCCAAATATTGGATAGCTGTGTCTGGAAAGCTTCTTGAAAGACAGACTGGGATTTTACTTCTCAGCCTCATTGTCCAGTAAATGACACTCTGTGCTCTGCATAGGAGCTGTCTGGCTCCAAGTGCAGTCTGGATGGGTGGTATAAAGTGAAACCTACTTTGTGCTAGAATAAACCTAGTTTAGAGGTTAAGAAAAGGTCCTGTTGCAGTAACACAGCACAGCAACCTCAGACCTGCTCCCATCAGCTCTCTGAGCTGAGGCTCAGGCCCACTTCATAGCAGTAAGTTGTCTCCATACTGACCTGAGGTGTTGCTACACAGCAGCAAAATAGTTTCCAGCCATCTCATTTCCCCTCAACAGCATCTCAGCCACAGAGGCACAAAACAAGTTGGGTGATTTATGTATTTTGGGGACTGTTTTGCAAAGGGGTTTGCAGCAAGTTTCTGATAAAATAGGATAAAAGTCTCTGCTTTAGCTGGGCGTAATTGGATGCTTTAATCTGGTAACATTTTGCTCTTGCACACTTCTAGTCTGCATTTCCCCAAGGGCTGTCAACAAGATTGCAGTGTTCTCTAAGGACATAATCATACAAGCTATAAAATAGGACTCAAGCAAAAAAACCTCCCCATGCAAGTGCTTCACTCTCTGACTCACAGATCTGACAGACCCCAATCCAGTGTACTCTCAATAGTGCATACTGTATTTTTATATATATATATATATATATATATATATATATATATATGATATTTTGGGGTGTGTGTATATATATATATATAAATATACATGTAAATCATTCTCATCCCTTGTTGTATGGTTGATCAAGGACACAGATCTGCCATGCAGGAGCCTGGGTACCTACTTGATTTAGCAGAAGAGGTGCCTTCAAAATCCAAGTGCTGTACATTTTCACATGGCAGCTTCAGCTCTGGAAACCTGTCTCACTGATATTTCATACTGATGTTCACCTCAACCTCTTCAACTCTCCCTCTGCCTTTCCTCTCTCCAGCCCTGCTCTAAAAAGACCCAAAGCTTCCCCAGTCTGTGTAGCTCTGCACCCTCCTGCTCCCTCAGGGGAAATTCTCATCCTAAATTCAGGTCCAGGTCATGGCTGTCAATCCCTTTCCCTGCAGAAAACACTACAACAAGAGATTAGCCATTATTAAGTTTCCAGTCCCAGCTGGCTGATGGGCAATGGGCAGTTGCCAGCACCTTCCCTTCAGTCCTGTGCTGAATGAACAGCACTTCCACCACTCCAGCCCATCCACAGTATCCTCATTCTCACCAGACAGTGTCCTCAGCCCTAATCAGGGACCAAACCACCCAAGAACAGTTGATTCCTCTGTGGGGCTAGTTTGTGTACACACATTTTCACTAAGCTGTGGTTTAAGTATGCAATTATAGGAGAAGCAATTGATCTGAAAGTTTAAACTCTGTAAAATTTATAGCCAGGTTTTCAAGGAACAAGTTAGTACATTATTACTGGCAATGGAACTGGGTAATTATTTTGTACAAAGCAGCTTCACTGTGGGGCAAACATGGATGGAATCAGATCATTTCTGGTACATCTGAAAAGCCACAGTTCATACTGAGCTGTCAGTCAGAGCTCCCACTGCTGTGCTGGCTCTAGGGGAAGGAGGGGGGTCTAAGGGACGAGCTCAGTTCTGTTTGGTGAGTGTGGTGCAAAGCCCAGGAAGGATCTGGTGGGCCCACACCTGCCCCAGCTCCTTGGCACCTTCCCCAAAGAAGCCCCAGTGACAGTGGCCATGCAGCAGCTCTGCCACCCCTGCCTGTCCACTTGGTGTGCAGACAGACCTGCTCAGCACAGATCTCTGTCCTTCTTCTGGCCTTTGCTTTCAGCTGCATTTGTTCTTCTTATTCATTTCTACCCCAAAGGGGACATCTGCAAGCTGCAGACAGCAGAGAAACACAGCTTAGGAGTGGCACAGAGTCCCAGGCAGGCACAGGGCTCCTGTGCGAGACCACCTGAGCAATTTATCCCTCACAGTTGTTTGGTTGATCTTCCTCACTCCCTGAAAAGCCTCACGGCAGCAGGCACAGCCGAGCCCGCTGTCGGGTGGGGACACTGACCTGTCCCCGCTCCCGTCATCCCTGCTCCATCTCATCACTGCACGTTTCATACCCATCTCAGCCGCCCCCACGCGAGCTCCCCTCGAGCAGCAGCTGCCACTAACGCCCCTGTCTCCCTCTGCTGCAGGATGACATGCACAGGGTCATTGACCAGCAGCTGATGGACAAACACCCGAAGGAATGGAGCCAGCTTGCTTATTCCTTCTCCAGTGGCTCCGGCGCCAAGCGGAGTGCCAGGCCCTCCCCCGCGCTCAGGCCGGAGCAGCAGGGGGATGAGCCCGGCGGGGCTGAAGGAAACCGTCTCTTCTCCTTTTTCAAGAAAAACTAATTTGAAAAAGAGAAAATTCTCCAGCCATTCCTGCTTCAAGATGGGGAGTGGGGCAGCTGCCCAGCTTGCTGATGGACCCAAGTCTGATCCACTGAGTAAAAAAGAAGGGGGCAAAGGAGTTAACTCTTGAGACTCTGCACTATTTACACCGCACCTGGTCTGAACCAAATGTTTACATGAATTGGAGATTTGCAAATTGACAATGTGATTCTAGTAGAAAGAAACTTTTCTTACCCTGTAAGTGAAGTGATAAACTTCAGGGTATATTTTAGGCGCTTTGACACAGTCCAGTTTCTGCTGTGAAGAATCCTCTGATTGTCTTAAAAGCATTCTTGTGCTGGAGAAGGAAATAAGCAGCCCCAAGACAGAGCGGTGCAGGGGATTGAGAACTGCTGTCACAGCGAGCACAGGGGGAAGAAGAGGGCTGAATGCAAGAGGACAGAGGGGAGCCATTTGTACCACCCTGGCAGCTGTGACATCCTTCATCCATCCCACTGAGACTGGAGTCACCCTGGCCCCAGCAGTACCATGTTTTGACAAATGTAGCTTTCTCTGTGGTGGAAGTTGAGCCCTCACTGCAGATCCTGCCTGGGCACCATCTCCCCTGGAGCTCTGCGTGGCTGTTCACCCTCGCTGGGATCCAGGCTCCTCGCAGCTCAGGGTAGGGGACAGATAGGTGGTGTCACTGTCCTCTCCAGCTCCTTCCTGTTACAGAGGTAAGAGTTGCAGGCTGTAGCTACACAGATTTCTCCCTGACCATGGAGACTGACCATCTACAAGAGATTACAGACTGGATAAAAGTTGTGCATGTTCAGTCCTGGGGCATCTGCTGTTCCTCCAATGGCCAAAAGTAGTTTGGGAGCTTCAGCAAGTCACACGCCTCTCCCCAAAGCCATACACATCTCCCAAACAGAGTAAGAAAACTCATTTTAACTGGATAGACCCCCAAAAGCCTAACTAATAATTCACTGAAAGCCTACTCCCAATGATGTCAGTCAGTCTTTGACACTGGGTTGGCAGACTGGATCCTCAGAAAGCACACTGGCATCTGCCTTCACTGAAGCCAAAGGCCATCAGGGTGTTACAAAGCTCTGGAAAGCCTGCAGGTTACTCTGCCCTATGCAGTAACATTGGCTATGGCCTGACAGAAAGGAGTGTTTGTCCCTGCCTGTGGGTCAGTTGCTACTCAGCCCTTTGGTGAGCAGGTAGCCAAAGGTCCTTTTGATCAAAGATGACCAGAGCCTGCTTTGCACGACTTGATCAACAAGAAGGAAGGTGGCTTTTTTGGTGTATGCACACAGCAGTGCTGGAAATCCTGCAATACTCAAGTAGGGACCTTCCCTCCTCACTGGATGGGCACTTTACAGCTCTTCTCCTTTGTCAGTCTGCCATCATAAGCCAGGGAGGAGCACCAGGCTCAGCTCAGAGATGTCCTGCTGCTGTCATGCAATTTTCACACATTCTCCCAGCTCATGATACCCACGGGCCCCAGTTTGTTTTCTGCTGCTCTAAAGAGGCCACCACCTACACTGTCCCACAGCAGACAGAGCTGGGTGCACCTTCAGCTCTGCCCTGCTCAGCAACTTTGGTGCTAACACACCATCCCACAGGGAGCTGCTGTCTCTGCTCACTGCTTACAGGAACAAGCTTTCTGCTAGAATAGGTACCAAACTCCTTCTGAACACCAGATAAGAGGCTGGTGGCTTGGGTTTTAGTATTACTCAGCTTACCTGTGGGATAGAACATCCATAATACCTCAGTACAAATATCCTTTCTGCCTAGGAAGATTTGAGCATTCCCGTGTTTCCTTATTAGCATGAAACCACGACACTGGTATGAAATCATCTTGCACTAAGCTCTGGGTTGCAAGGAGCAGAGTCCTGTGAGATTGGCAATGATAGTGAAGAGCTGGGTGGTAAAACCCATCTACATGAAAGCAGTGAATCCTGGAGTGCAGAGCCTGCTTCAGGAAATACTTGGGCAAAGCCCCACCAAGTACAGCTTGATGCTTATGGGGAAAGGAATCAGGAGCCTCACAGGCAGGGAAGGAAATTGAACCTTGGCCTCTCTGTTCTAGGCAATGCTCAGCTGTTGAGTATCTGCTTGTAGCCACTTGTGCAAGCGAGGGGAAGGGCTGCAGTGCAGTGCTCAGTCTTCATCCTCCCATCCTGCCTGTGCTGTGACTCTGGATGGGGCAGGGACACCAGGCACATGCTCAGCACCTCCTGCTGCCAGGACTGTCACACCCACATGCATTACCCCAAGTGCTGATACTGCAGAGCCAGGCGTGGCTGCGTGGATGCCAGTGACACCTGTGACACAGTGACACCTGTGACACAGTGACACCTGTGAACACTGAAAACAATGCTCTATCAGGAGAGCCACGTGAACATCTCGGTCCTCAGGGACCTTTCTTCTGCTGTCAGTTGTCATTTCCCAGACCCCACCAACTCTACTCGAGCCACATGCCCAGCGGTTGTGTGGGACTCTACCCCAGAGAGGGATGATGGATGGATGGATGGATGGATGGATGGATGGATGGATGGATGGATGGATGGATGGATGGATGGACGCATGGGTGCATGCATGGGTGCACGGATGCATGGATGGATGCATGGATGCAATCCTAAGGCAAGAGCCTTAACTTACCCCATGAAGATGCAGTAATGAGATGAAGAAAGGTGCCTTCTGCTACGTTTGCTGAGGAAAGTGACTCAATCAGTTGCAAGGGTAGGCACAGCACATCTCTTCATTTACAGAGAATCCTTAATCCCACTGCAATTTTATTTATTTAACAAGAGTGACAGAAGAGATTGCAAGAGGAAAGTCAGCATGTTCTAAGGTGCCAGTTGGGTATAGTTTCTTCAAACAAGCCCCTTCACCCTAAAGACTTAGTTGCACTACTAAACCCAGAGATACAAGAGAGCTGGGTGTAATGAACTGGACAACACACCAAAGGAGACCTTGTGCTGAGCTGCTACTCCACAGGAACAGAAACTGCCTTAACACAGCAGCTAGGTTTTGTCTTGTCTTGAAAAACCTCGTGCAGTCCTTCACACCCATTTGTCACGTTGTGTTTTAACAAGGTCTTCACCCTGTGCTGTCATTAACACACTCACCTCCATCCTGTCATGGCCAGGAGCCCAGGATCAGCCTTGCAGTGCTGGTTAGAAGAAACTTCACTTGTGGTACTTGACTCTTCCAGGACACACACGGTGCAAAGGAAACATCAGCTCCAGGGAATGAGATGGAGGAAGCACATTAATCCAGCAGGTACTCAGCATCCCAAAGGAGTGGGATTAGCAGCTCTAAACACAACCCTCAGCCTTGCTTTCGAGATAATGGTAAATAAAACAGTAGGGCTGCACAGTCACTGTTCAAATATTGCACAGAGAAGAGATGCCTGCTGAGATTAAGGTTACAAAGGACTTTCCCACAAGTAACAGGTGACTTGTTTGGGCAAATGTTTATTATGCCAGCCTGAGGGAAAAGGGATCAGTCTCCCCTTCCTAAACTCTGCAAGGGAAGCAACTGTAAACAAGGAACAAATGTAAATGAAAGGCAAGTCACTAGCACTTTATCTTCACACAAACTTAGATCAGCAACTTGCCCTGGAGATGAACAATAAATCAAAAAGTTACTGACAACAGAGTCATTTTGCACAGAGAGCAGAAAGTGAGGCTGCAGGCAGGGCCACATGCACTTGTCCTACTTAGAATGGTGAATTCCAGATAAGCCTCTCCATCAGGCAAACTCTACTCCCCACTCAGCTATAAAAAGCAAGATTGTTTGAACCAAAAAGCCAAGAAAGGAAGTGTCTGGGTGCTGCAGCAATGATTCCCTTGGATTGAGAGGGAAAAAGCACACAGCAGGGACAAGCAGAAAGAATGTACCTATAGATATGTACATATACCACAGTGCTGTAATTTTTGTATGTAGCAGTCATGTAAATAAATGTATGGTTTTTATATGATACATATTATAAAAATCTATAAAGGCATATTTTTAGAAAAAAAATGCTCTACTTCTTTTGTAAATAGTTCTCTTCAGAATAAAACAGATCATTTATATGATACTGTCTCAGCTCTCACCACTTTACTGTGCCCAGCTGCAAAACAAGCTCATTTTTTGAACTGTCATTTAACACCCAACAGCATCTTTGGTGCTGCATCATCCCATGAAATTCAGCGAGATAGAGCCCCTGTGTGTGCTCAGGAGAGAAGGGGCCAGGGCAAAAACGTCTGAAACATTTTTATCTCTTGGTGCACAGGAAAACCTGCAGGTGAGTAAATCACTCCACCTTCCAGCTGTGTGCTTTACAGGCCCTGGTACAGAGGCAGACTCCAACTGGAAGGAGTTTAGGCACCAACACAGTGACAGACCCACAGCTGCAGCAGCTGCAGCTCAGACCACTCACATGTCCCCAGGAGTCCCTTCCACCTCCTCCGCCCAGAAGGGCACAGACAGAACAAAGGCTCCTTCCCAGAGCAGCTTCCCATCAACTCCCCAGGAGCAGCCTGGGCAGGGCAAGGGGATGCTGAGGGCACAGCCACGGCTGCAGTTCCTGCACTGATTAATTAAACACACATTAATTTCCCAGGAAAGTGAGAAGAGACTCCAGATGCTTTTAGTCACCTCGGGCGGAGGAGCTTGCAAAGCTCACTCAATACTTTTTGTAGAGCAGGAAGACAAAAGATTACAGCACAATCACAGGCACCTCACTTCACACAGAAATAAGTTACCCGTTCCACATTGCTCTTTCATTCAAACTAAAACAGCAACTAAACATTTGAAAGCATTAATTATGGTTTTCTTAATATCCCCTTTCAGGAAATAACCCTTTACACACAGCAGCAGAGCTCACCCCTGGCTTGCCACCCTCCACCTCCAGGTGCTGGACAGCAGAGGAAACAGAGCCTCAAAAAAAGATTTGGCAGCTTGTAACCTTTATTTTTAGTTTTTTAAAATTATTTAAAAAGCATAATTAGAAACTTTCATTACAGAAATAATCCTAGCAAACCAGTTAGACATTCCATTGCTCAACATTTAGGAAACTTCACATCAGCACCACTAGAGAAACAGTCCCCACCCCTTCCAATTGAACAGTGATGGCAAGAGCAGAGGTAACTGCTCCTTTACAGCCAGCTCTGGGGAAAACACAAAAGAAATCCCCACTTTAAGCCAGGAAGCCAGACCTGGATTGACAGAATTCCAACCAAGGCCACAAAAACCTGGACTCAAAGAGGAACAATTTTTCCATATAAGAGAACACTCCAGGCTTGGGTGCACCATTTCCTCATTTTATTGCATCATTTCCAGTAAATTCAGACATGTTCTTTATTTCTGCCTATATGAAGTTACTCCCTCCCCGATCTGCACACAGCTACCAACAAGATTCCCCAAGTAACACAGCTGGGCCCGTCCATCTGCAGGGGGAAACCCCCACAGCACAGCTCCAGGGACGGGCCCAGCTCCTCCCAGCACACACCACATTCCACACTGGAGAGCAGACAGGATGGACTGGTGTGACCCAAGCCACCACTTTCCACAGCCACTCAAATCTTACAGTGATCAGAGCTCACTCCAGCAGCACCATCCCAGCTCACTCCAGTTCTTGGGTTACCAATGCAAGATATGTGAATAAAAGAGATGGGTGAAGGCAGCTGGATACGTATCCCCAGCACCTGAACTGATTAAAAACCCACGTGTTACACATTCATTGTTTGCACTTTGGAAAAACTCTTTAAAGTGATTGATTGTGATGTGATTGTATCATCAGGGCTCTTACCACAACCTGAAAAATCTAAAAAAATGCAGGCAAAATAAGTGACTAAAATTTAGCCTCTCCTGGGGAAAGGGTGAGGAAGGGAGAGAAGTGGGCTGATGATTCCAAGCTCACGGACAGGGGTGAATCACATCCTACCAAACTAAGGCCAGCAATTCCATAGGGCCAATTACTGGCACATGGAGTATGTCCACCTTCAAGGCCTTAAAGGAAGTCATATCCTCCATGCCTTTTAAGGTAAAATTATTTTTTTAATATTATTTAGGCAATAATTCAGGTGCTGAGCATGTCCTTTCAGCCCAGACATTTGATATTTTAGTTACACACACATACACTCTCCACCTTTAACTACATCTATTCAGGTTGAGGAAGTGAGCCCTTGTTTTCCCAGAAAGGCTGACGAGGGCCAGGAAAATGTTGCTGAGCACAGCAAGCCCAGTTTGTTTCCAAGTGTGATCCTCCACCACCACATAACCCAAGCAAGCAAGCTTTCCATTTCTTTGCATTAACAGCAGTCCTCCTTCCTAACAGAAGAATCCTGGGAATGATCCTGCAGCTTTCATATTCAGACATCAATAAGGAGAGATGGATTTTTTTTCATGCCTTTTCTCTCTCAAAAACAAAAGCTTTGCCACCAAAATTCACATTCAAGTTCAGATTGCCTATTTGTGGACAGGGCAACAAGGAGAAGTTTGGGGTTTTTGGCAGAATCACATGATTTTTGTTCTTGTCAAAAGAAATGGACCCTCACTTAGGACACTGGCAGAACCAGAAGCAGAGGTCAAAGTTGTTAAACTTTGCTTAAAAAAAAAATTTAAAAAAAATCCCACTTCTGCAGGTCAGTTTGTTTCCAGAATCTTGATACAAACTACAGGAGAGCACAGGTACAGCTGGGCTGCAGCACAAGGAGGTGAAACCCAAGGATCCAGCCACAAATCTGGATGATGGCAAGCTGAAATTCCAGGCCCCAGCAGCAGCTCCAGCTGCCAGCCCAGGGGCTGGTGAAATGAAACCCCAGGCTCTAGCAGCGACACCTGCAATCCTGGTACCTAGAAAAACACAGCCTGAGCCCCAGGAAAAGCCTGGGACTCCAGGAGAAGCCAGGGGCCCCAGGGACACCAGTTGCCAGCCTGGAGCCCAACAGAAATGAAGCTGGAGGCCCCAGGAAGCAGTCACTGCCAACCTGGGGGCAACTCAAATTAAGAACTTTTAAACTTTTTCTTTAAAAAGATGAACTCTGCAGTCCTTGATTGGTTGACATTAAGAAGGCAGAAGCCAAAGCGACAACAGGGAGGCGAGGCTGGTTAAAGCAATATACATTATATACAAACTTGGGTTAATTAGTCCACTTGGTAGGCAACGTCCTTCTTGTCTACAAGGCGCACTGGAATGAGCAGGGGAGGAGAGGGGGGCAAGATTCCATCCGATACCTTCTTGGCACTGCAGTGGTAAGGTGCCAGCGCCTCTTGATAGAAAACACGGAGAAAAAATAATCTTTAAATAACGGCACAAAACTGAGAAAGTCCTCCCAAAGCCTGCCCCAGTGGAATTGCCCGAGTCTAGCTGGAGGGGCTGATCTGTCTGAGAGCAGAGTCTCTGCAGCAGGGAAGGGGCATTAGCAGCACCTCTTCTTCCTTTTACTGTTCTTCGTTAGCTTCACCACATCGTTCTGTTGCTGCTGTTGCTGCTTTGCTAAGTTTTCTTTCTTTGCTCGCAGGACAAGCTCTGTAATGCAATTAAACATCTGCAAGAGAAACAAGCACACTCAGACCACCGCAGAACTTGGGCTGGCTCCTGTGGGGTGCTGCTCCTTGCAAGCCATTCCCCTTTGCTGTATGTTTCAATAATGCTTCAGAGACCTTACCCGGCCCGAGTGGAAATCCAATATCTTTTCCCAGCCCACTCCCAAACTAAACAGTACCTCTATCCCTTTTTCCAAACCAGTAAATAAAACCAGGGCAGTTTGGCAGCTGAGGCCAGGAGTGAAGCCTAGACAGTCCTACCTCCTACAAGCATCCTCAAGTCATTCCTGCCTAATATGTGAGCACTGTAAAGCTACTGAAAATGCAGTGTGGGCTCCTTCATTTTGCTTCCCCAACACTTCCATAAAGAGCCAAATGTCTCTTTTTGACAATTTACCTACTACTTGCAACTCATACAAGCACTTTTTCTTTCTCAATGGGAAGAATGGAAATTTTATTTCTTCCCACACCCCAAATCATTTTATCTCTACTCTTCTGAATATTATATTACCTCTTCCACATTAATATTTTCTTTGGCGCTGGTCTCAAACAATTGGATCTCCATCTGCCCAGCAAATTTATAGGCATCTTCTGTTTCTACCACTTTTCGGTCTGGATCATCATTCTTATTGCCCACTAAAAAAGGAAAGAGAATAAAAGTCAGTTTGGTATTTCAGCAGGCCAGCCCACTAAATAAGATGCTGTAACTCCTTAATTACCTACCTAGTATCCTGCAGACATCATCACAGTTTTGATTAATTTCATGCAACCACCGTTTTACATTCACAAATGATTCTGCGCTCGTTACGTCGTAGACAACAATGACCCCATGTGTTCCTCTGTAATACCTGTGAGGCACAAAGGGACAGCAGCTGTTAACTCAAGGTATCACCTTCTCTTCCACTGAGCTTCTACAGGATTCACAACAAATCCTCAAGTTATGGTAATCAAGTGCCCCTCTTTTCTTTCCACTGAGACTCATGTAGCTCTTTTATATCAGCTTGATCCCAGGCTATTCCTCCAAAGCTGCAGAGCTCCCTGCTCATTCACTCTACACAAATACATTTCCAAGTCCAAAGATTTCTAAAATCTTCCTTGTAGAGGTTTTCAAGACCTTCAAAGATGAATGCTGTCTTCCAGCTACAGGACCAAAGGCACATCCTCTGTACTGGCTGTGATGTGAACCTTGGGGCTGTATAAGCCACATTAAGTTTTTGCAATAATTCTGTTATCTGTGAACGATTACTTACAGACTAAAATTTCAGCAGATCTCCAAATATACTCAACCTTCAGTCACAGTTCTCTCAAGCTCTCAAAAATTTCTGTCTTGTTGAACGACTGTGTTCTGATCACACCTTCCTACTCAACAGATCGACTCCATATGTGCATTCAATGCACTCTGCTACCTTTAGCCATTAAAAATAAGCTTTACTTCAGTTTATTCCCATTAGTCTTGGGCAACTGGCACCTCTAAAAGATGATGAGCAAGTCTGATATGCAAGAAAAATATCTGAATTCAGGTTCCAGCATTATCACCTGCACAAAG